GTGCAGCGTAGATTTACTAGGTTAGTACCAGGGGTGAAGGGGATGAGTTACGAGGATAGGCTGACCAATTTAGGCCTTTATTCTCTAGAATATAGAAGAATTAGAGGGGATCTTATAGAAACCTATTAGATCATCAAAGGGCATGATAGAGTAGATAGTGGGAGATTGTTTCCCCTGATTGGAGAAACTAAAACCAGGAGTCACAACCTTAAAATCAGAGGCCAGCCCTTTCGCACTGAGTTGAGGAAGAACTTCTTCACTCAAAAGGTGGTGAATGTATGGAACTCACTACCCCAAAGGGCTGTTGACGCTCAGTCCTTGAACATATTCAAGACTGAGATAGATAGATTTCTTATTGCAAAAGGGATTAAGGAATATGGGGATAAGGCAGGGTTAGGTTATTAGCTGGAGTTAGATTAGAAGATCAGCCATGATTGAATGGCGGGGCAGGCTCGAAGCACCGAATGGCCTACTCTTGCTCCTACATGTTATGTTATGTTATTCTGCTGTGGGCTGCACCTTGATTTTTTTTCTAGCCAGGTGTCTTACAGATGTGGAAACCCATCACCACATGCAGAAATATCCAAACCAGATAAGATTAAAGTTTCACATATGTACACCACCTAAACATGGAAATTTCCCTGTGTCTGGAATGGAATGTACACTTTCTGCCCAGAGGAATGATCTCTGCTTATCTCATTTCAGAGAGTATTAGGCACAAGTTGCCAAGAGCCAATACTTGTGGACCCCCAAATTGTGCGTTGGGGATACGGCTGGACTTTAACCAGCTATAATAACACATTTTCAGATTTAGCTGGTATCAGAATTTTGAAAGCGTGTCAACATCTCATCTATATAGATAAACTCTTAAGTATAACTGATAGGTTGCACTTAAGCTTTCAGAGAGCAGTGCTGAACAAAGGCTAAACTCCTTGCCACAGAGACAGGGTTAACATCAGAGAACAAGTCACTGTGAGTTACTCTTGGCTCACTCTGGGGTCAGCCTGGCTCAGTTTGTAACATTCTTAACTCCACTCAGAAATCTGGAGATTCAAGCTCCACATCGGCAATTTGGACTCACAGAACAGGGGTGTGCTGCATTGCTGGAGGTGTGGACCTACAAATCAAACGTTAAACTGAAGACTCACCTGCCTGTTAGTGGCACCATTTGAAAAGAGAAGCGAATTTCTCCTGGTATCCTGGCCAACAATCCCCAGATAAAATTGGTCATCAACTCTATTGCTGTTTCTGGGGTAGTGTTCTGCGCAAATCTGCTACTGTATTCAGCTTCAAATACACAGTAAAATTCTGAGAAACTCTTTGAGTCATTACCAACAATGTGATATGGTGCTATATCAACATGCAAGGATTATTTATTATTACTGGCTACAGCATAGCACAGGCAGAGACCTGAGTGATAATAATAATAATCCTTGCATTTAATATAGCGCCTCATCACGTCTTTGAGATGTCTCAAAGCGCTTTACAGAATACAATGTAAAGTGAATTGACTGTATATTTAGTGGGAGAATTGCGGCAGCCAATTGCGCCCAGCAACTTGATCCCAAGTTAGGGGAGAACAGAAAGAGAATTTTGTTGATGAATATGATCCCAGTCAGACATCACGTCTAGTGAATGCAGGCTGAGATCTGAACACACTGTTAGAAGCTGAAACAGTCTTGTTCAGCTTTCCAGGCCAAGAAAATAACACCCACAACCATTCTGCCTATCTTCTTCACAGTCAGGAATTTTGACTAAAGGGACAAGTGACTAAAGGGAAAAAAGCAATAATACATTATAACACCAGTATAGTTAAAAGGTCTAGCAGCGTTTGGGTCTAGACAAAGAGCTTTGATAAGAGCAATTACCACTGGTATTTCCCAGAGAACCCACTAGTGACTTCAGTTTTCATCTGTGACCTCGAGGGGGGCGGCAGTGAAGGAGGTAAGTGAGGTTTCTGTGGGAGTTGAACTGACTACAAGGTAATGTGTTTGGCAATGCAATGTCGGAATCGAGTCAGTGCTTTGTGGTGTTCTAGGTAGTCCTTTTGCTAAGTACTCCACGGTATTCCAGGGCAGCTAGCCTTCCTCAATAACAGGACTCAGAGGCACAGACTGGAGGCAGGGATTCTTCCCACTCAGCTCTCATTAACCCTGAAAGTGAAAGCTCTAATGGATAAGGTGGCCATAGCTGTACAAGCAGCAGGAAGCTTGACAGACAGAGCTCTCAGTGACAAACTATGTGGTTGTAGCCGGTTAAACTCCAGCTCAAACTCTCCAAACCTTAACCAGACCTGGTTCCCCTCCCCCACTGCTGTTATTAATGATGAAGTCAGAAAAACTCAGATATTGGACTTGCCCCAAATCACCTAGAATTTGTGTATAACACTAACCAACCAACAGGGCATGATTCATAAACATTAAGTTCAATGCCACCATCTGACTTCTTTAACTTCTACCATCTTCGTTTCCAGGAGGAGCCCAGGAAGTGCCTTATTTCTGTGCAAATTGACATTATATAGTGTGACCCCATTTTTAAGTGCCTCACTAGAGGCAGAGTTTGCTTATATCATGAGATCTGCAGTTGCCAGAAGTCAGGTGCCACAGCCGGCATCCTATGGTTCCTGTCGTGTAATGTCTCAGATTGCTTTACGACAATGGGGCCAGATGCCGAGCAAGGTAGAAGGGAAAGAGAGAGGTGACCATAATATGTTGGAAGAGGTAGGTTATGAGGCTGGACTTAAAAGACACAAAAAGGTGCAAGACAGAGGGATGGAATGGGGGAAACCCACTGCGTAGAAGCTTTCAGAATTTCACTGTTTGGTGCAGTGTGATGATGACATCAACGAACTAAAATAATTTTTAAAACAATAAAATCAAAATTTACAGACGTGTGAATAAAGATGCCTACTGATTTTTATAATTAATACTTCAATCATCTGTATTTGTTTCAGCTTTGACCCTGCAGAAAATAACCAAACCAGACATGAATTCTCAATGAAAATAATACACCAACAAAGTACACAATCATTTCATTTCACAGTATACTCCGCAAAGTGTTTTGAAATGTCCTCCCAACTTGAAAATTGTAATATCAAATGTAAGGATTATATAATGCACAAATTGAATTAAACCACGCACCAATTGAACTGCAAAAAACTTTGTGAGCACGCTGAGAAGAATAAGGGAGGGAAATGTGCAAGCCGGCCATGTTAGCGGCTCAGCAAAAAGTATCTAAAAGACGACTGGTGTGAAATTGTGCAGCCTAAAAAGCTAGTTTGGGGAAGATTTACACACATTGTTCAGGTCCTAAGAGCCAGTTGAACTGGAAAGCCCTTTGCGATTGCCTGGTCTAATCTCTTCCACCCAACGTATGTGTCATTTTGTATTGCTCATTGCACTGACAGCTAGCACAGTTCAAGCTTATGCCATAGCAGAGTGACAAGAGGATTGGGCTGTGCTGCATTATCTGATCAGGCTGCGTTCAAGAGAGCTGAAGGAGATTACAGCGCTGGACCACAGGCTGGAGCCCCATTAAACCAAAACAAATCTCAAGAACGTGCAGCTCAGCTTATTTTGCTTTGTATTTTCTTCCTATAATCCTCAATGTGCAGTATTTCTGTTTTCAGCTAAGACTGGAAAATTAAGAATTTTTCAGTTCACCGCATGGAGCCACATTATATTTTTCGAGCAAACCTCAAAACTACTATTAGGAGACCTCAGAGCTTAGAATAAAAAAAAGCAAATTCTATACTGTCCAACCTTGTTAGATACTCTTTCACAGAGAAGTGCAGCAAATTTATTATTAATAATTAGCGCTCCGGGACGCTTATAAATGCAAGGAACCGAGTGAAGGACGCTATATAAATGCAAGTTCTTGTTGTTTGTTGATGTAATAATGCCAGCAGTCACTGTAGACAGTGTTTCTCCAATAACAGTATTTACTGTGCTAGAAATAATAAGCTTGCATCCTGAAGATAGGTAAAGAGCGGGCAAGACAGAGGGACTGAGACAGGGAGTTAATGATAATCCTTACATTTGGTATAGCATTGGGAGGATGTCCCAAACCTTTTCACAAGATACACTGTAAAGTGGAGTGTCTGTGTTTTGTGAGCGAATACAAATGGGGAGAAAGTGCATTAACATGCAACAAAATCATTCAGCCTTTTCCCTTTTTGTGGGAGAATTTTATGAACAAGATCAAAGGAAGATTCAAGGAAATCTCACTGATGTGAAACAATGTGTTTCAAACAGTTTTTGCTGGAGGAAGGGAGATTTTTTGACTGAATTGCATCCTTGTTAAAAGTGATAAGAAGATAAATAATAAAAATAATAATCCTTGCAATTGATATAGCATCTTATCATGTCATTGAAACGTCTCAATATGTTTTGCAGCATTTTGCTATTTACTGCACTTACATTTGTCAAGTTAGTGTGTATATATAACTGTGCATTTGGATGCGAATGCGGGAGCCATTGAAAGTTGATATAAAGTACATTACTGTAATGGTTGTCCTTTCCCCTCAGGATAACATTTTGAAAAATGTAGTTTCAACAGTGGGTGACTAAGCTCACATTATCTAAGATGGCACTCTAATGCAGTGCTGGGGTGTGCTGCAGTGCTGCAAGTGCCATCCTTTGGATGAGATGTTAAACAGAGATCCCATCAGTCACTTCATAGTTGTTTGTGGGACACTGCTGTATGGAAACTGGCTGCCATGTTTGCCTACAAATACCTAGCCACTACACTTTATAGTAAAATACTATGAAGCGCTTTGAGACATCTTGACCACGTGATAAGGCGCTTCATCAAATGCAAGGATTATTACAATTGAGATGATCCGAGAGCTATCTGCGGGCTGCATCACAGATGCACTTTAAGCACTGTTTAAGCACTGAATCCTAACCTGACATATTTTCACTTTGACTGTGAGGAAACAGATAGAGCTGAGTTTCTGTGAGCAAGAAACTTTGTCTTCGATTTGCATGTGTTTTTCCTACCTAAGCTCCTTGAAAGGCTGAGCTCTGACCACTGGTGTCTCCACAGAATGTTCAAAGAGTGCACCTTCTGGTCCTGGAGGAAGAAAGGAGGAAACAAAGCTTTTAATCTCAATGAAATACCACAGCAAGTTAGTTTAACATTAAATACACGGGTTCACAGTTGAAAATTCGCATCAAATAAATGCAAAGGTACCACATAAAAGTGACCTTATTGAGGCCTGTTTTAACTGAAATACAATATTAACTGAATCTGTATACTTAGCCATACTATAAATCGTAGGATGACATTTTTCAGCAGCTCTTTTGTTACAGGCTTGATTCTGGTCAGCAACATCACCTCTCTCTCTCTCTCTCTCTCTTTATCCCTTGTGATTGTGGAATGTGAACACTTCCGCTATGCTTCCCAACACTGGCTTGATGAGAGCCTGAGAGGTGAATAATTACCCACACCAATTGAACACACTATATGCATTGTGATTTGCCCCAACACAAGCCACATTGCCAAACTCTCTTCAATTAGAAGATCTTACCACAAAGAGCATCTTTCAGATTAAAGAAAATAGTAACTTGATTCATATTTTACCTACAAAATACACAGTCACACTATACTTTATAGTAATGTATTTTGTGGGCAAATGTGGCAACCAATTTGTCTCACAAACAGCCATGAAGAAAATGACTAATATAAAGAAATAAATGATAAACTTGCATTTAACATAGCGGAGTCCAATACTGGAATGTCTCAAATATCTAAAGCTCTTAATAAAAAAAGTTATTTTAAACTGTAGTGAATATTAGTGAAGTACTTAGTGAGTTCATTGCCTGGGGGAATCTATCACCACCATCCTTCCATTCTATCTATTCTAACACTACATGTTTCTCCAAAGCCTAATCGAATAAGTTAAGTTGAAGATTTTGAACGATTCCTCAGTTTGCTGTAGTTGATAAAACAATTACTAAACAATGGACAATTTGTGCAAGAATGGACAGAATGTTTTTCTTGCTACCTACTTCTAATGAAATCCCCATCATTTACTATTAGGCTACGGTCACTGCAAAGACTCTAATTCACAATCTGCCTGGCTCAATTTAGCTCAATTATAGAATCTGTATATACTGAATATAGAAAGCCCCAATAACACAGAGCAAAACAGTGTTTAAGTTTAACCTTCAAGACCATTTCATGTCCTCTATATACAGAGGAGTAACTTCATAAAAATTATAGCAAAGATGAATGACAATCTGCCCACCTACCCTAATGTTAGCTCCTCCATTGGAGTACTGTATTCCAATCCTAATTTCATGCTCTTTCCACAATTGTTCCTCTTCAAACATTTACCTATTTCCCTTTTACTATTTAATGATAAAGGTAACCCTGTCTATAACATGTTCAGCTGGGTCCAACCCTTCATCAACTGTGCGTTATGTAATACAATACAATTTACATTTATATAGTGCCTTTCATGTTGGGAGACAGATTCAACATGCTTAATAATACTGGCTGGGTACCCAAGCTGGGAGTGGGAGCCAAGGAGGCTGGGGAGTGGAAATATGACTGAAAGAATGGTCAAAGAGGTAGGTCTTGAAACAGACTTTGAAGCCTGGTGTACTGCATTTTGAGTCAGCACGGGTCCACAATAGACTTGTAATATAAGCAAGGCAGTGTTACAGTGAAGGGCGCTATAAGAGGGCTACCCTGTATACACACTGGGACAGCATTTGTAGACTTGAAAACAACTGTAAAATAGGGAAATCTGTATACTGTCGAGAGTCTCACATGCACACTAACTGGGACTGGTCCCATTATACAGAAATAATGGGAGGTAAGAGATCCATTTTACAATCAATGTACTGACAGAAACCAATCCAGAATCTGAAACAAAAACTACAGTCCTTCGAAACACATCTGACAAGGCTATTCACTCCACCGTTGGTCTTTGTTCTAAATTCTAAGTTTGATTTTCGGGCAGGGCGAAACGTTGGGCAAGTTTCCTTACTCCACACACCTCTGTTTACCTAGCAGTACGTAGGAACCCAGTTGTTAGTCGATTGGCAGATCACTTTGACATCAAAAGAATAAAAAATTTGGTGATTGTTTGTGGGACACTGCTGTGCACAGTTGACTGCCGTGTTTCGTTCATAGGAACATAGAAACATAGAAATTAGGAGCAGGAGTAGGCAATTCGGCCCATCCAGCCTGCCCTGCCATTCAATAAGAACATAGCTGATCTTCTAACCTAACTCCATCTGCCCGCCTTATCCCCATATCCCTTAATCCCTCTATCCTTCAAAAATCTATCAATCTCAGTCTTGAATATATTCAAGGACTGAGCATCTACAGCCTTCTGGAGTAGAGAATTCCATAAATTCACTATCCTCTGAGTGAAGAAGTCTTTCCTCAACTCTGTTTGAAAAGCCTGACCCTTAATCTTAAGACTGTGACCCCAAGTTATAGATTCTCCTACCAGGGGAAACAGTCTCACACTGTCTACTCTGTCAAGCCCCATATGAGTCTTATATGTTTCTATAAGTTCACCCCTAATTCTTCTATATTCTAGAGAAGATAGGCCTAGTTTGCTCAACCTATCCTCATAGGTCAACCCCCTCATCCCAGGAACCAACCTAGTGAATCTAAGCTGCACCACCTCTAAGGCGAGTATGTCCTTTCTTAAATAAGGAGACCAAAACTGCACACAATATTCTTGGTGGGATCTCACCAGGGCCCCATACAGTTGCAGCAAGACTTCCCTACTCTTGTATTCTAACCCTTTTGCAATAAACACCAACATCCCATTAGCCTTCCTAGTTGCTTGCTGTACCTGCATACTAACTTTTTGTGACTGGTGTACAAGGACACCCAAATCCCTCTGAACACTGACACTGCCTGGTCTCTCCCTTTCTAGAAAATAATTTGCTTTTCTGTTTTTACTACCCAGGTAAATAATTTCACACTTCCCCACATTATATTCCATCTGCCACCTTCTTGCGCACCCACCTAACCTGTCTATTTTCCTTTGCAATCTTTTTGTGTCATCCTCAGAGCTTAGTCTCCCACTTAGCTTAGTATCTGAGAAGGACACGTTTATCCCTACTTTCTGTTTTCTTCCCATTAGCCACTCTTCGATCCATGCTAGTATATTGCCTTTAATTCCATGGGCCCTAATATTGTGTAGCAGCCTTATATGTGGCACCTTGTCGAATGCTTTCTGAGAATCTAAATACACTACATCTACTGGTTCCCCCCTATTTAACCTGCAAGTTACATCCTCAAAAAACTCTAAAAGATTTGTTAAGCATGACTTCCCTTTTGTAAAGCCATGTTGACTCTGCCTAATCATGTTATGGTCTTCTAGGTACCCCACTATGACCTCCCTAATTAAGGATTCTAGAATTTTCCCAACCACCGATGTCAGATTGACTGGTCTATAGTTCCCCATCTTTTTTCTCCCACCCTTCTTAAAAAGTGGAGTTACGTTTGCGATCTTCCAATCAATGGGAACCGTTCCAGAATCCAGGGAATTTTGGAAGATCAAAAACAAGGCATCCACTATCTACATCTCACCCGCTCTCTTGCCCCCTTCAAGCCCTGTCTAACGACCTTCCTCATCGACCATGCCTTCGGCCACCCCCCTGCCCTTGCAACCCTCCTGACTCCAACTCCCAGCTCGGGTCCAAAAAACCCTGACTCCAAGGCCATGCACAGCTGCCAGGAATCACCATTGAGATGATTGTCAGGTGCGTAGGTTCGCTTTCTGCACCTAGGGACCATTCAGTGAGTTAATTATCACAATGTTCCTAAATTGATTACCAGTATTAATTATCATGTAGGTGTTAACCAACACATCAAAACAACCCAAAATGTGTACCCCTAGATTATAACAATCCTATTATTTAATATTTCATATTGGGAGGACATCTCAAAGAGCTTCACAGGATATATTGCACTGTAAAGTGCAACATTTGTGTATTTTGTGTTTGTGTTAACTGGTTCTACTGTTCAGTATATCTGTTGGTTGCTTGCTGATGCAGAATCTAGACCTTCAGCATCAATCTTCTTAGTTAGCTTTGCAGGCATTCTTTTGTACTACTCATATACGCAAGACATAATAGCACTGAAACACATCTACCAATGAGATGCGCTTAAGTATAACATAGTCACGTTTAACAGACACAGTCACACCACTTTACAATATAACCCTGTCAAGTGCTTAGAGACACTGCGATGACTTAATAAGGCAGTATATCAAATCCAAGGATTATTTTTATTATTGAAGGAGTGTAACCCGCACACCCCCGACCCCCATTATGTGGAGCCCTGTAGTTCAGTGGTTAGAGCTCTCGCCTCTCTCAAGTGAGAGACCTGGGTTCGATTCCTGGCAGGGTGAAACCTTGGGCACGTTTACTAACTCCACACGCCTGATAATAATCCCTCTAGAAAAAGCAATAATAAATTGGTCACTTCATTCCACGACTGTTTGTGGGACACTGCTGTGCGCAATTAGCTGCCGCGTTTCGCCCACAAAATACAGTCAATTCACTTTACAGTATATTCTGTGAAGCGCTTTGAGACGTTTAGAAGACATGAAAAGCCCTATATCAAATGCGAGGATTATTATTATTACTATTATTTTGTAAGCCAATTTTGTGCACTGCAATGTGCCACAAACAGCCATTAGGTCAATTAACAATTTTTTATTTGGGGGATTGTTGGCCAGGAGAAACTCCCCTCACTTTTCAAACAGTGCCATGGGATCTTTAATATCCACCTAAACAGGCAGGCGGGACCTCAGATTTACATTGGAAGATTGGCACCACCATCAATGCAGCACACCCTCAGCCCCACTGTATTGGAACATCAACCTAGAATATATGAGTTCAACATCCCCAATCCTACCCCTTTATTAGTTACATTATTTCATGAAATGAAATACCTGGGATTGAATTGTTGGAAGTCCCAGGTAGCCCTGTCAGAATCCCATCAAGTCTCACATTAAACCAATAAAACATTCCCAATGATGGTATACTGCTGTGCGCAATTGGCTGTCGCAATTCGCCCACAAAATATACAATCAA